GAAGTGGATGCAAGCAGGAAATCCAGGGCCAAGGTATGATTCAAATGGATGACTATGCAGGACCTACAACACAGTGTGGTCCACGCTGAGGGCCACGGTGTCCAGCCCTGTCCTTCTCTGCAGTCCTTCAAGTAGCCCTTCCTTCAATTTATAGGAAGATCCACTCTTGGAGGTGCTGTTGGGTTCCATGGAGTCGAATACAACTCCCAGTGACTGAACAATAGATCTGAAACCTGGCCTGTCCTGTGTCGTCCTCACAATCTCTGACACACTCAAGCCCATTGCTTCAGTCACTGTATCAATCCACCTGGTCAAGGGTCTTCCTCTCTTTCACTGTCTCTCCACCTTCCCAAGCATGATGTCCCTCTCCATGGAACAGCCTCTTCTAGCAACATGTCCAAAATACATGAGATGAAGCTTCATCATCTTTGACTTCAAGGAACTCTCTGGCTGCACCCTCTCCAAGACATATCTGTTCTTTTGGCATTTCACGAAATACTCAGCATTCTTCTCCAATACCATAATCCAAAGACTTTTCTTTTCTGTCATCCTTAGTCATTGCCCAGCTCTCAGATGCACAGCAAGTGACTGAAAAGACCATGGTCTGAATCAAGCGCACCTTAGTCCTGACTTAGTAATAACTGACATCATTGCTCCTCAATAATTTGGAGAGGTCACACTTCCTGATAAAGACACTCAGCAAAATTGGAATAGAAGGGAATTTCCTCAACATAGTGAAAAGTATATATGCAAAACCAAGAACCAACATCATTCTCAGTGAAGAAAGACTAAAAACATTTATCTTGCAAACAGGGCCCAGACAAGGATGTCCACTGTCACCACTTCTTTTCAATATTGTATTGGAAGTGCTTGCTAGGGCAATATGACAAGAGAAGGAAATAAAAAGCATCCAGATTGGCAACGAAATGGTTAAACTGTCGCTATATGCAGATGATATGATAGTATACACAGAACACCCCAAAGACTAAAAAAAAACAAAAACAAAAACAAAAACCTGTTAGATTTAATAGGCCAATTTAGTCGAGTGGCAGGATATAAGATCAATATTTAAAAATCAGTAGGATTCCTCTACAGTAACAAAGAGAACTCAGAAAAGGAAATCAAGAAAGCAATACCATTTACAATAGCCAACCACAAATTGAGATTCTTGGGAATGAATGTAACTAGAGATATAAGAAACCTACACAAGGAAAACTATAGAGCATTTCTGAAAGACACAATAAAAGACCTAAAGAAATGGAAAAACATGCCCTGTTCATGGATAGGAAGACTCAATATGGTGAAAATGACAATCCTACCAAAAGCAATCAACATGTTCAACGCAATACCAATCCAGATAGCAAATTCATTTTTCAATGAGATTGAAAGGGAAATTGTCAAACTTATTTGGAGAGACAAGAGACCCTGAATAAGCAAAGCATTTCTGAGAAACAAAAATGAGGTTGGAGGTATAGCACTCCCTGACCTCAAAACCTGCTATACAGCAGTGGTAACCAAAACGGCATGGTACTGGTACAATGACAGACACATTGGCCAATGGAACAGAATTGAGAACCCAGAAATAGACCCAGCTATCTATGGTCAACTGATATTCGACAAGGAAATCAAAGCTATCAAATGGGGAAGTGATAACCTCTTCAACAAATGGTGTTGGCAAAACTGGACTTCCATCTGCAGAAAGTTAAAACAGGATCCACATCTCACACCAGACACAAAAATCAACTGAAGGTGGATCAGAGACCTGGGAGTAAAGCCTAAAACCGTAATGTTCTTAAGAGACAAACTGGAATCAAGCTTAGAAGTGCTAGTCCAAGGTATAAAGAGACTGCCAAATACAACCAAAAATGTATGCTCTAAAGAGGATAAAATAAAATTAATGCATGGTACCTTCTGAAGACTAAATCTTTATGCACATCAAAAACTTTTTCCAACAGGGTGAAAAGAAAACCTATAGATTGGGAACAAACATTTGGTCATTCCATCTCAAACAAAAGTCTTATAACAAAAGTTTACAGAATACTCATGGACCTTCACAAGAAAAAGACTGATAACCCAGTTACAAAATAGGCAAAAGAATTTTCACAGAGGAAGATATTTGAATAGCAAACAGACACATGATGAAATGCTCCAAATCACTGGCAATAAGAGAGATGCAGATCAAAACCACAGCGAGGTACCATCTCACTCCAGTAAGAGAGGCAAACTTTAACAGGGCAGCAAGTAATAGATGTTGGAGAGGATGCAGTGAGAAAGGAACTCAGACATTGTTGGTGGGATTGCAAAATGGTGCAACCATTCTGGAAGGCAGTTTGGCGCTTCCTTAAAAAGCTGAGCATAGAAATTCCATACGACCCAGCTATTCCACTACTTGGAATATATCCTGAGGATATGAGAACTGAGGCACAAACTGAGATTTGTACACCAATGTTCATAGCAGCACTTTTCACCATTGCAAGAACATGGAAACAGCCCAAATGTCTAACCACAAACTAATGAACTGAGAAATTATGGTACATTCACACAATGGAATACTATGCAGAATGCAGGAGTAATAACTTTGTAAATTATTACCTAACTTGGGAGGGACCGGAGAACATTATGCTTAGTGAACTAACCCAGTCATATAAGGATAAATATTGTATAAAACCGTTATTGTAGAATGAGTATAAGCACCCAGGAGGGGCGAGAGAGGCTAGAAGCAGAGGGATGTGATTGTGCAGGGGGATGAGGGGATTAATCATTGGGTTGTACAATTTGTTGGGGGACGGGTGAGGGAAATTGAAAGAATTTGTTCAAATTTGTATTTGAATTTTGTAAATAAACTAGTTGTTGTTGTTGTTGCTATGTGCCATCGAGTCATTTGTGACTCATAGTGACCCTATGTACAACAGCCCTAAACCCTGCTCTATCCTGTGCCAATCGCACTGCCTCTGACACACCCATCCCGATTACCCCAGTCACTGAATCAATCCACCTCATAGAGGGTCTTCCCCTCCTGCGCCGTCCCTCCACTCTAGAAAAATAAAAAAAATTTTTTTAAAAAATACTAATTTGGAAAGGTCCCTGACTACTGACTTCCCAGTGCAGTACAGCTACTGATCTCCTGACTGCTAACACCAAGTGTATTGATGGTGGATCCTAGTAAGACGAAGGTATTGACAGTCTCAATCTTTTCTCCATCTATCCCTCACTGGTGAAGACTTATATTCTTGACATTGAGATGCAATCCATATTGAAGGCTGCAGTGTCTGACTTTCTGCAACAAGTGCTTCAAGTCCTCCTCACTTTCAGCAAGCAAGATTTTGACATTTGTATATGTTACAGATGAGTCTTCCTCCAATCCTGACACTACCTTCTTCATAGAGTCCAGTTTCTCCTATAATCTTCTCATGTAGATTACATAGATATGGAGCAAAGATACAACTCAGACACATGCCTTTCCTAATTTTAAACCATACAGTGTTTCTTTCTTCTGTTCAGACAGCAGCCTCTTAGTCTAGATATAGATTTTGCAAGAGTAAAATTCAGTGTTTTTAAATGCCCATTCTCGGTGTTGACAGGAAGCCAACAGTTAATTCTCCACTGTTACTCCCAATATGGGGACTACAAACAGAGGACTTCCACTGTGAGCTCAAGCTGTCGGAAGGGCTCTGCTCCTGCAGAGTCTCTAGGGAAAGGTCCTTACTCAATTCTTCCACATTCCTTGGCCTCAGGTATTCCTGGGCTTGTGGTTCCATCACTCCAATCCCTGCCCGTCTTCACACAGCCATCACACCTATATCACTCACTCTGAGGTATGAAGTGTAAGTGAGCGTTCAAGAGGGAACAATCACTAACCAAAGAACACCGCTCATCTGAAGCACATATAAACACCCTAAAGGAAAGGTGGCTGCTATTGAAAGTCAAGATCAGTGTGCAGAATCTGACAATGGCTCCTGTGAAGCTTCCACCTACCCCAACCCCAACACTGGAGGGGTCTCTGTGAACATTGGAAGTTCCTGTGTGAACCTGTAATCTCTCCCTCACCAGGAGCCCCTGTGTAGACCTGTCATCTCCTCCAGTACTTGAGATTCCCCTGTATGGACCCGTCATCTCCCCCCAGAACTGGGAGCCCCTGTGTGGACCTGTCATCCACCCCCAAGTACTGGGAACCCTTGTGTGGACCTGTCGTCTCCCCCCTGCCCCCAGCACTGGGAGCCCCTGTGTGGACCTGTCATCTCCTCCAGCACTGAGATCCCCTGTGTGGACCTGTCATCTCCCCCAGTACTGGGAACCCCTGGGTGGATCTGTCATCTCCCCCCAGCACTGAGATCCCCTTTGTAGACCTGTCATCTCTCCTCCCCCCCCAGCACTGGGAGGCCCTGTGTGGACCTGTCATCTCCCCCAGTACTGGGAACCTCTGGGTGGATCTGTCATCTTCCCCCAGAAC